CTCCAGGCATATCCTTATACACAAAGCCAGCTCGCTGATTTGTTGTGGCACTTTTGTAGCTTTTCTTTTTTGGCAGAATAAGGTATCCACATAAGAGCGGTCTTTTGGGATTTTGCAGGGTGGGGTGGGGTGGTGTTTTTGTTGGTGGTGGTTTTGGTGGGTTTTTTTTCTTGCATGGTCTATGTAGCTGATCAAAATTTGCATCACACACTTTAAAAATCCTAAAAGGGTATTCATAAGGCAGACTGTTAAAAAACACAGTGAAAGGGAAAACCTGAGCTGGTAAGAACAAGCAACAGTGAGAAACTGGAATTATGGAAAAAAAACTAGCAATAAACTCTGAAAAGGCAGCTGCTTTCACTTTCTTTTTCCTGTAATCCATTCCCTGTGTCAGTACCTTCACAGATGAATTTTCTGCACTTTAGGAGTGTGAAAGTAGCCTCAGCTATAGGTACACTTCATACCAATAACTTTTTAACTCAGGTACTTCTAAACTTCCTCTCAGTGTCCCGAAGCATTTACAAATTTTCCATTATTCTTGGGACTGCCACCACAACCCACTCTCAAAGACAATTTGAGGATAATTAAAATAGGAAATTCACACTCCCTTATTTAAGCTTCATCTTGCCCTACCCACTGCAAAACAAAGAGCACAACTTTATGCCCAGAAGGGATGTGCTCATTGCTTCGCTGTGCTTGGCATCTAGTATGTGATGAGACTATGAACTACTACATATGATGGAAGTTTGGCTGAACAACACAAAAACCAGTCCATAATTTATGAATATTTCCTACATCCAGAAAGATTTATGTTAATCTGGAAAATATAGGCTAAATCTGTAGCCTTGATTCAGGTGACTGACATTGCTGTGGACAATGTTTGGTTTTAAAGTATAGGTGAATGATTGATATTTAAAACAAAAACAAGTTTAATAATCAAATTGCAAAAACAGTTTCTCTCCTCTTGTCCAAACAGACCCCAGCAGCACACAAAAAATGCAAGCTAACCCAAACTGTCACGTAATACCATATTTATTTTAATTTCTAGTACTACTGAAGCCAAGCACTGAGTGGGGAGATACTAAAAGGGAAAGAACAATAACATTAGTGTCATTAAGCTGAAGCAAACAAGTCACCACTTCATGTATTTGAGGGGAAAAAAAGTAGGTTAATAAGGAGAATGATTATTGAATGACTACAGGCAGAACGCAATGCTAATACAAGAAAATTGAGGACCCAGAAAAATCTTGCAGAGCTGAGCCACTGTTTCACCCCTTACATTCTGAAGTGTCAGCAAGGACAAGATCAGGTAAGCAACCTGGAAATAAGAGCAAAGGGATCACAGAGGAGTGGAAAGAAAGAGAAGTATTGAACTTGCAAAGAGGCGAGCAGAATCACCCAGCCCTTGCTTAGGGAGGCCTGGGGAGAACCTCTTCAAGGCCAGCTGACGTGGTGCTGCACAGCTCAATGTGGGATCTTAAAAAAAACAGTTGAATAAAAGCAAATCTTATAAATAACATTAAATGCTTGGAAGGTTTAACATTTGAAAAAGTGTGGGCAAACAAATGTTTAAAGAAGTACTGGGACAGCCAGTGATGAAGGAGAATACAGGAAGTATCCTTGAGAATGAGAGATATATAAAGTCATATGTTTGCAATGTTTATCTGATACAGTTGCACCTCATATCTCCACTGAAACTTTCAGCTAAACACAGGATACATATTCTACAAGGAGCCCCTCAAACACAAAGCAAGTGACAGCAGCCAGTGATACCCCACAAGGCACAGAGTGGCTGACAGTGTGGAATCTAAAAGTTATGTTACGAAGAATCTGCTGAAGAACGGATTTGGCATAAGGTTTTGAAAAGGAAAAAAGAAAAAATAAAAGAAGTAATCACAGGCATAAAACTTATGTGTTCTTATATACGTGCTTTGTCCTGGTGTTGACAGCCTTGCTGTGCTGTGGAAACCATCTTGTGGCAAGGATTGAGGGAATACATCTCCCTCTCCCTATCTGGGATTTATGTGGATGGATTTATTAGGCAGGCTCCCAAGGTCCTTGTTCACCCTTATGTGAGCTGTTTAATACTACTAATTAATACTGTCAGCATATTATGGGTTTTGTGGAACGTGGTCTCGTCCTGGTGTAAGAGAAAACAGATACTGGGTGAGGCAATACTGAAATGTGCCCTGAAACAGCCAGTCCCTGGGTGGCAGGATCTGGGCAGGTTCCTAGAATGGTTATCACCTCTCGTAGCCTGGGATTTTACACCTGAACAGGCAAACAACCCAGGCAAACTGACGCGCCACCTGATAGAAGGGTTCCTTGTTTACCCCAGTGAAAACCAGCAGCTTCTAGCACTGTACTGGGGCCTGGCCTGTGCCTATCGAGCCACAATTCAGTACTCTCAGAAGACTGAGGCTGAGTCAGGGACCCAGACTGCATCTGTGGACAACAGAGTTGAGGTAGGCACCCAAGCAACAACTACAGTAATTGCCCCATGCTGAGTGCCAGAAACTGTTGTGGTTTGGTCTCAACTGGCAATAAAGAACCACGCAGCTGCTCTCTTACTCCTTCCCCCTCCCTGGTGGGATGGGGAGGAGAATCAGAAGGAAAAGGCAAAACTCGTGGGTTGGGATAAGAACAGTTTAACAGAACGGCAAAGGGAGAAGAAAATAACAATTGATAATACTGATAAAAAGCATATACAACATGCAGTGTTCCCACCTCCTGGTACTCAGCTTGCTCCCGAGTAGCAAATCCCCCTCCTTCAGCCAGCTCCGCACTTAAATACTGAGCATGCCATCACAAGGTACAGAATATCCCATTTGACTGCCTGGTTTGGGCCAGCCCAACCAGCTTCTTGTGAAAATGAACTCTAAAAAAGCTGAACTCAGAACACAAGGGTATTTTTATTCAACACCTCAACCACACCAAGCAATCATTTAACTATGCTGAGGAAGTGGAAGAAGGACCTCCAATGAGTTTTGGGTTTTGTTTTGTTTTTTTTCTCCACTTTTCATTTTCTGCTGGAAAAAACACAAGTTTTCATCTTGATGTAGTTTATTAGTAAGCTGCAGCTTCCACAAGGAATGAATAGTTCCTGTTAAGAAACAGCAGTGAAGTGCTGCCATGGAGAATTAAACCAACTGACAGCTGTGGTCCTGCTCCCCTCCTTTGGCAACGTCTAATAAGCAACACCTCAAATGCCGTGTGCTAATAATTCATGTTTAGTATGGCACAGTATCATCACATGACATACTGGAATCTCGGTTCCTACCAAAACAACTGTTAGAAAATAATTGTCCAGTCATTATCTAAGAAATATCCGCAATTGAATATTATGCGTTTGCTTGCACAGGTGTACAAAAATCAAAGTGATATATAGGGTCCCTTTAACTTTGTGCTATTGCAAACCATTAATACTGGACTTGGACAACTATATCGAATACTCACAGTGACATTGCAAGAATATTGTCTTTTTGAAAAATGAAAGTATAATCTCTAAAAGCTCCTGAATGCACTTATTAGATTCTTAACCTCAACACGTTAAAAAAAATATTAGTCTTTAAATATAAGGGCAAGAATTAAACAACCCAGAAGTGTTGTCCTTCACACTGCTGCAGTTCATTAGTGACCCAAATAAGCCATCCAGCATCATTTCTCCTAAATTTTTCTACTTCAAAACGACATATAAAACCCCATTTTTATAAACCGATTTGAGACCTTCAAATGAGAGGCGTTACCAGTATTATTTGTTGTTATCATGCACATACTATAATCTAGTATGAGACACAAAAAAGCCCTTAGAAAAGGACCTGTAGCGATCTATCACCTCCCACTGACCTCCTTCAAAACATATTTGGATGTGTTCCAGCTTTTTATTGCTCTTTGGCACTAGTAATCCACCATTTCATCATTATAAAACATTCACAGCAGATGTGCCTACAAACAGAGCCACATGATTAAAGTGGATAAGAACAGGAAGAGATGAACTCTCAAGAAACAATCATCCTGAGTTGATGCTAATAACTTTACTTTAAAAGACTAAATTAAGGAGAAACATATGCAGATTTCCTTAAGCTCTTCTATTTTGGAGTTAAGTCTCGATAGTGCTTCTCATGTCAGGCTACATTTTCTGTAGTTCCTCACAATGTTCTAAGTGAGTATTTCTGTACCACTGTTTTCCCAAATTCAATTTTTGCCTTCCCTGAACACCACAGCAGAAAAGACATCAGTGTTGTCTTGGCAGAGGGGAGAACAGCTGTTTTACAATTACTTATTTATACTAGAATTAATTTGTCCGATGGCAAATATGTCCTAACTTCATTACTAATCAGAGCTGGTGAGACAGACTCTACATTCGATATGAATGAAGATATGTTGTAGACGCAACAGTTTTCTATTGACAAAAAATACTTAGTGATTAATACCCTATTATGTACAAAACCAGAACAGAACTAGCAAAACTTGAGAGCTGAAATTACATGTCATAGTTACAACAGTACAAGGCACAGGTAAGCTTAGTTCTCAAAAATATATTTGACCCAGCTTTGCAGTATAAATCTGCGGGGGCAGTGAGGGGGGCTGCTATTACTGGTCAATGTAGTAACATGTACAATGCCACTTGACAGAAATTTACTGAATTTACATTCAACAATACTTTCACAATTCCTGTTCCGTTCTTACTTTTGTATGCCTCCCTTAACTTTGAGTAAAACAGCAGTTCTACTTGCCAGGGATCCAAAAACATCAAGAAACATTAAAAAAAATTGTATTTGGACTCAACATATGTATCAGAAATCCTTTAGATGAAATTTTACAGACAGTATCTCAGTTGTGCTTTACTGGGCAAGTTGGAGAAGCAAAAGGGGTGGAGACCTAGAGCTTTTATCTAGAAATTAGTCGCTAGGAAGAGTTCATCATTTGTCCAGTACTCAAATTTGCTTCACTCTACTATTCAAACTAGCATATTTACCTATAAAACTCAAGCAACTTACTTTGCAGTGGTCATACTGTTGCTGTAAGGTTGGAACATCCCCTCCAATAGGCATCTGCTTTTTTAGTTCTTCATCTTTCGCATTCAGCCATTTGATTAACTCTTCCAGGGATGTCAGCAATCTGTTCCATTTCTCTGCACTGGCCTCCAAGTGAGCCCTGTGAAACAACATTGAAGCATCTTTAAAGACCTGAATGGCAAAAACAGCATGGGAATGAAACAAATAAATAAAATCACTCCATCATTAAGACAGGAATGTGTCAAGTGTTTAACTGCAAAGCAACTTTCTGTTAAAAAACCTCTACTTCAAAACATTTTGCACAGCAAATCAAAGTACCAAACGAAAAATGGGGGAACACAGACAAATATGTACCTGATGCTCTAACTTATCTAAAACCTTGAACGCTGCATGTCTAAGCAACATAAAGAAATGCTGTATTTTGTTATGACTCCACCACTGCAGTGCATGAAGTATAAATGTCATTTTGTGAACTAAAGCACTGTAAAACTGATCTCTTTCATGACAGGAACTTGATGCCCCAGCAGCAAAAGCAACAAGTTCTCCCAGCAGTGATCAACAGTAAATTGTCTGTGGTGCTGAACGTATCAATGACATAGAATATTTAATACATCATCTTTCATCGATGGTGAATTACTAAAGAATTAACACAGTGAATCTGTCCCTCAGTTAAATTGATGAAAACCCCATATTCCACAATATCTTTTTCTATAATTTTCAAAAAAACCTTGACTTTATGGCAATGCCTACACAGCTGCAGTGAAATCTTCAACTATGTGATAGAATAATTTGAGACCAGCATGTATTAGTTTTTACCAGTAAACAAGAATTTCTTCCTCCACACAGGTGATGGAATAGAGCTAAATGCTTTTCAGTGTAGTATGACACCAACTTTGCACCTTCCTGCTCCACTTCTGACAGATGAGTGAACTGAATTTTACTATTGTTTCCTACCTTTTTGCTTTCCTATTTTGTACATGATCTTTTATCTTTTTTTTCCTGATTCACTGTAACACTCACCTTGAAACTTTCACCTGGCTAGTCTTGTATTATCATCTCAAATGGCATTAGAGTGAATGTTTAGGACTGATATGACAATATTTGGATTGAAGGGGTGATGTGCTGCAAGGTTAATTTCAGGGCAAGCTTAAGTTTGCATATGCTGGGATCTCAGGGTGATGCTAGGATAGATGAACCAATAAAGAAGTGAGTAAGAGTGTATGGCAGGAAAAGATACAAAGAAAACAAAATCACATTTCTGAAAAGGATGAACTAACTACCTTTAGGCAGAGAACCTGTTCCCCCTCACTTCATGCAGGAAAGCGCCTAGGTAACTACTTGGTGGAAAAATAAAAAAAAAATAAGTACTTTTAGCAAGAAAAGCGATGGTTTACTGCCTACAGTTTTGTGCATCACAGTTTCTCTTGCCCCTTATTGCTCTCACTAATATCTTTCCTTCAACACTGAATTCAAGCCAGCTACTCGTAGCCCAGGCCCGAACAGCTGAGCCAGCATCCTGCCCTGCAGTGAATTACAAGCAAGCTATTGCATCTGCGGTCATATGCATACTGGGGAAGAGCGTCCTGCAGGCCTTGGTTTGCAGACCAGCTGCTCCTGAGTGAAATGTAGTGTCTCAGCTCCTGGCCTCTTTTCAGTTCTTAAATACTCACTAATCAGAACTACTTTCAAAGCAACCAACTTGTTCTCCCCATACGGACGGTATTAACTCTGCAGTTAGTGCACAAGGTACCTGCTTTGTAGCTGAAGCATTCACCATAGTTGGTCCCTGAAGCCCCCAGCCATACACAGGGACACTCTCCCAACAGCACAGGGTGGTACAATGTTTACCACCTTCTTTTCACAACTAGCTTGACATCCTGTAAAAAATGCCCTCAGAAATACCAAGCTTCAAAGCACTGCATGTATGTTACTCTCAGGTGCTAGGTACTTAGAACCAACCCTCCTTCCTGGAAGTGAAAACAGAGGAATACTCCCTATTCATCAGGCAGAGAAGAGACATTGCCCTCTCATCTAAGCCAATGCAGCCCACATTTGAATTTACAGTTTTGCTGTTAGACTCGCAGATTGTCATAAAAATAAAGTATCTTTACAAATTTCTAGGAGCAACCACAATTAAGATGTTCAGATCTATACCTTCCTGTACATTTGATAGTGAAATCTCTATTCATTGTGATTTTTTACTGTAGCTAGCACACATAAGCAGCTCTCACCTCTAAAAACTAGCACTCTCTGAGGCTTCGAGATTCCACTCTAATTACTTAGCAGAATTCTTGTATACAAAATGCATTGGAGTTTTCTAAGGAGGGGAAAAACTCCTGCAACTACTTAAAGGACAATTTACAGGTGACTCACTGTTAATTTAACATACAGTACAATAATATTAATAGGGAAAAAACATATTTTGATATTAATGTGCATGATGTGACATAAGATACTAGATTAAATGCATTGCAATTTACTGCTAATGACTACCCATCTGCACGCCAAATTAATGACAGCAGCAAAATGTCACTAGCACATGGTTTCAAAATCCAGTGCAAGCTCAACTTGTGGGGGTAGAGCAGTAAAGGGCAGAGAGCAAATGGACTACACTAACAGGGACTTAAAAACTCTTCTCTGAACACAAAGTGAGCTAACCTCTCTCTTGAAAGGTCAGAAAGGCATTAAGGGGGGAAAAAATACACAGGGGAAAACATATCATATCAGCCTGGCTTTTTTCCTGAATGTTACCCTTCCAATCTTATCAGAAGCAACACTGAAAACAAAAGTGAGATGCAGCAGCAGCTGAAGAGTAGACACAAGCATTCATTTCTCCTAGGGAGCAGAGACACATGCATTCAGTAAACACCATTCAAAGCAAACACTGCACAGGAACAGAGGAACCAAGATACTCTCCAATTTGTGTTTCATTGTAAAGTTTTAGTATCATGTTTACTTTTGTCATACAGACAGCATCAAAGAGAGACAATAAACTATGTTAAAGTTCTGAAATGTTTCTTGGGCTCATTTGCTTTCAAAGACAGGATTTCTGGCGTTTGTTTTGGAATTGGTACTTCCACCGATACACAATCTAGAAAAAAAGCTTCAGGTGTTTGGGCTCACGCGACAAATGAATTGACAATCTCCAGGGATTTGCCAGGTCAAGTGATGGCTTAAGAGGAAAATAAAAATATATAAAATATATAGGTCAGTTATACATGATTGTTTGTTTCTGAGCACTGGTTGGAGCAACAATATTCCCCAGCATCAACCATGTGGTACTCAGAAGCGCTTCTAAGGGAATCCTGGATGAGCCTGAAAAACACAGATGCTCCCATCCAGCTGACCAGACTGAGAGCACCCTCCTTTGCACAGGCTAAATAAAATCATCCAGAACAGCAGCAAGTCTGACATAACTCCCCTTCTGTTGACCCTGCGAGGCTCTCTTCACAGCTGGAGACCTCCTCAGCTATTGCTTCTGCTATGGAAGTAACACTTCTCCTGCTGAGGGACAAGAGAACACATGGCATAAAAATGATCGGTGGGTGGTCTAAATATAGAGAATCCTTCTCTGTTTCTCCCATACTGTTACATTTACCCTCCCCCAAACAGTAACACTGTTGCATCTCCTTCCCCAGGAGCAAAGAATCTCGCCTAAACATTGGGCTTTAAAAGACAGATCCGCACAAATCTGCAGCTTTGTTTTCTTCCTGGGAATTAGGTAATAAAGAGAGAAAACGAAAGAAGTGTGAATAAGTCTACGAGTAATTTCAGCGAGAGGTATAGTCTTCTTGGGTGGTGTCATAGTCACTACAAGTACAGGTTTAAGTACTTTCCATGTATTTAAAAATATGTCACAAGGGTGCTGCTTTTTCAGTTTGGAACTCCCTTTAGTTACAGTAGTTACAGAAGCCAGGAACTAAACTCAACACAGTGACTAGCATCATCAGCTCTGGGGAATGAAGTGATGAAGAAAAAGTCATACTATCCCCAAGAAAAAGCAGTACTTTCAGAAGCTAAAAATCAACATAAACAGAATGTACACACAGCTGAAAATATTCTAAAGAACTTAGAGAAACCTTAATTCAGAAGAACTATCCTAAGCTAAAACCCGTAAAAAAACGATTGGATTTTTCAATCATCAGTCCTAGTATCTAACACAGTTAGGTTATATGCTGTTCTCACAAGATTCATCCATACAGTTTTGCTTTCCAATTCATCCTTGAAATAAGATACACCAAGAAAGCAAAAGTTTAAGGCAAACAGCTACATCAACACACTGACTTCATATCAGTTCTAAGTTTTATTATTTCCCTATGAAGGCTTTCATCACTCTTGCAAGAGTTAGAAAAGTGAATTGCAATCGAAGAACAGGGCAAAATACATGAACTCAGAAGCACTACACCGCTTTCAGCAGCAACTGAGACTTAAGAGGTTAATTTACTTCTCTCATATTTGCTCCAGTATTCTCCTCCCTGCCTGTCTTCTATTTGTAGCTCAGTGACTTGTGGCTCTGCAGCACTGCAGGTACCAGCAGAGTAACACAAACATTGCAAACATCAATGCTGCGCAGTAGGATGTAGGTGCCATATCCACCCAGAAGTGAAAAGATGGGCCTGTATTTAGAAAAGCCAGTATTCTCACTTTTTTGAGCATTCACTGCACAATCACTGTCTCTGTAGTGCTGTCTTGGAACTCACATCAGGCCAGGGTAAATGGCTTGATGGCCCTTTTTTTGGCCATCAGTTTCTCCCAAATTAACATCAACCCCAGGGAAGGCCAGGCAACTGAATTTTTCTTGCTTGAACTCCACAGTTGCTACGTTATTATCTTACGAGCAAGTTTTTGTCGTTCTCTCCTGTTGACTTATTTCTGAGTAGAGCTCAAAACAGCCTAAGTTTGATAGCTCTTGCATTAAACTACTTGTGAGGTGGGGCTAGTCTCTGCAAGACCCCCACCGAACTGCTTGGTTCCTCTGGTCCAAGCTCTGCCTGTTGACATTCATGGAGCTGATTTACCTGTTTCGCTTCACTGTTTAGCAAGCTGGTGATGGGATAAGTGGAGACAAAATATAAATGTCATGTATTCCCCTTTATCTCACTCTTTCAAACTCTTGTGCCTGAATTCTGAGCTCAACTCATTTTTCTGGCCTTTGGAATGCTTAACATCGTTGTGTTCTATTAAAAGAACAGTTTCCTTTAATCAACAAGCAAAACAGTTGTAACTAAAAGCTCTAGAAATCCTTTTCTATGTAATTCATTTTAAAGTGGAATTTTATTCACATTAATGAATATGGTAATATGTACTTCCAAAATGACATCGCAAAGATTTTAACAATAACTACACTCGGACAGTCAGTGAGCTTGGTACTGGTAGGACCAAAAAACTGTAAAATGCATTCCTTGATTAATACGTATTTTAAAACACTTCTTAATTGAACAGCATCAATAAAGAAAAGTTACTACCAATATGGGTCAAGACACCTAAGATGCAAGTCGTATCTAATTCTTCATTTCAGTGGTAAAAACTAAACCAACAACAAACTCCTGATTTCTCCTCACAGAAATTGTAGATTAACAGAATTACTTCATTGATGTTATTATCGATTTATAACAAGGACAGATTCAACATACTTCCTGGAAAATTTAGTACAAATCCCCAAGTTACAGCTGCACAGCTCTGGAGAGAGAAGTAGTAGTAGTTAAGCCCGCATGGCGAGCAACTGCACCAAGTTTTTATGTTTGTGTTCAGGGGTCCTTTACAGAAGAAAAAGGAGATTTCACTTCAATGCTGTGGTCATATCTGTTAAGCCTTTGAGAAGACAGCAACTGCGCCCCTTCATGTCTTGACATTTTCATTACTTACCTGATGTTAGCCGACTTCGCCTTCAGGTCATTCCAGCGCTGGTTCATGTCATCAAGCCGGTGCTGGAGCAGTGCAGCTTCCTCAGAGTTTCCCAAGGCTTTCACCATCTTCTGTCTGTTTCCATCAATGCTTTTAAAGATGTCATTGTGGGCATCAATCTCCGCTTGGATGTCCTGAAATATCAGCAAGAACAGTCCAAACATCTTAGTTCTCTAAATAAAGGAAGGGGAGCTTATTCTCATTAGTATTCCTAAACACTCGGACAGAGCACATAGTCTGACTTTCCTCAGTGACTCTGAAAAGAGATGCAGAGAGGAAAACCTGCAATCCTATTAACATCGTTATAAAAGGTCTAGGTTTCTTAAGTCCGAGAAAAGGAGTCTGAAAGTCATCCTTGACTGTGAAACATGACTTAGAACTGTAAACAATAAGTTCTCTGCACATTTTTGTAGCACTGAAGGCAGCTAATCATCTACTGTTCTCCCATGCATTTCACACAGTGCAGCATTTGCAAATGCACCAGAAATTGCTTCCTGCTCAGAAATTACAGGTTCAGCCTTAGCTATGTTGTCTTTTTCCTCTTTGAAATAAAACATTTCAGAAACCTTACACAGCCCAGTGAAATTCAAACTCTATGTAGTGCTTTAGGTCATATGCAATGACTTCAGTTTTTAACTAAAATCTTTGTGCTTAAACTGCAGCTAAATGACTACACCTACCATAAGCCCATTTTTCAATTAAACTACTGTACACCATGGCGTGAAAAGTATGGAGAGGTAGGTATAAATCAGCCGGATGTATTATAATCTGAATTTCATCGTACATACTGAAAAAGAAGTGCTTGTGATTTCAATTCAGCTTACTCATTTCTCCTCCCCTTACAAATCAAATGTATTTTATTCTCTGATCTACCATCTGCCTCAAGAAACAGACTACAGATGTTGTCTTCATCTAACCAAGTACAGTATTATTTTTAAAACACATTGTACGAGCAAACAAAACTTCCTGCATCACCACCAATGCTTTCTAGCAGCCATACATCTATGTATACACTCTAACAGAGCAATGTAAATGTGCAGGAGAGCCAGGAGGTGTACTGGCTGTCTCAATAGGATTAATCAGTGAGGACTGTGACAGCAACTTGATGCAGATGTAAACAAACTTCTTTTGCAAAGGAAGAAATTCAATAACTGAAAACCCTTAAAGGTTTTTATTCTTCCAGACAGCTCCTCAGTCATCTCCATCTGTTCCCAGGAGCAGAAAAGGAGGGGGCTCTTGTATCTCCCCATCCTCATGATGCAGTCCTGAGTCTTAGAATGGCTGCTTGCACATGTACAATTGATAGTCGGAAGCAGCAGAAAAGTAGCTACGAATTTGAGACACCATGAAGCTTTCTTCAGTTAGGGAATAAAGCAAAAAGAAGTAAGGATACAGCTGGAGAAGAGGGAGGACGAGAGACAGACAGGGAAGGATGGTGGGGGAGGCGAGGGAGAGGGAGGCAAGCATCAGTGAAGCTCTGGCTCTCCAGCTGAGCTACTATGTGACTTTGGACAACTACTCTTTGCCCTGAGTTTCACTACTTGAAAACAGGTAAAAAAAATACTTTTGCTGTCTTTAAACCATCCAGATAGAAATTACCATTCTGAAAATAGATACAAGCAATAGCATTTAAAATTAAAAACCGAAATGGAAGTATCTGATGATCAACAAACTCAAAGACGACAGCATAATCACCAGTTAAATCAGATGTTTATCTGAAAATTTTTGCAGCTCCTCTCCTTATGCCTCCAACACGGAAGCAGACCCAGTGAAAACTAGCTCAAGTCAACACAGCAGGAGATACAACCATATACAACAGTTACAATTTTAATTGCACACTGACCTGTGGTACAAAAGCCTGGTCATGTCAAATCCATGTTACAAAATCCAAGTTACAAAACAAAACTTAACTGAAAACAAACTGATCTCTAGTCTCCCGTTCTACAATCACAATATTCATTCTAAAGCTATTGAGGACCTTCACAAAACATTCTAGCTTTGATTACATTTGAGAGAACACTTAGGCATGCATGCTTAAAAATGTTTCATTCAAAATGGGTTCAATTCTTGCATTTGCCAGGCATCATGTTACATTGATTAAGGCACAGTAAATCTGCTGCTCTCATTCTTGAGTCCCATCTGTGATGGTCATGTTGTGACAGCTCAGTTCAAAGAATCAACTTTGCTAATTAACTTCTCTTTATCTTTTCTGATTTCCATTTTCCAGAAAAAAACCCCACTGCCAGCTGATGGATAAACTAACAAGACCGATATTAAAGTTAATGAATGCCAGTGCATCGCAGCCCTCAAAAAAGAAGAGGAAGAGAAATCCAAAGACCGTGTCCCACACCAACGTGCACATGGAACAAATGCAGCATGAATGTGGGGTGTGAAAGATGGCTAATGGCAACAGATGGACACATTTAGTTATTCTCCAATAATGATATAAAAGATCTTGAAGATTATTATTCAGGCATTGTCCTCTGTTGGAAGGCTGACAAGAATGATGGGCTCCCATCTTGACCCAAGATTCCTGTAATTGGTAGCAATTGGTAGTAGTCTACTCACTGTGTTATAGCAATATTTCAATTCTTACGAGATTAGTAAATACGTTGTGGTTGCCCTCCCTTCTTTTTTTTTATTTCAAAGTGGGGAGAAGAACTTTATTCATCCTGTACACATCCCAATGCATGTTCGTCCTGGTCTATTATTTTTCTTTCTCCTGCCTTTTCCTTAGTCATTGCTTCTCCATAATCTTCTCTATTGCTCTCTATGTGGCAAAAAGGAATGAAAAAAGTTGATTATCCCTGCTCAGGCTCCAACTAGGATTAACTCTAATAAGAGTTAATACAATGACAATTTTTCAGTACTTTGAAAGCAATTATAAACACTTTCCTATTATCACATGGAAGCTCCCATACCCGGAGTCACTGAGTCAATACACTGGAGGATGCAGGAGAAGAGGGAAAAATAATTCTCTTTCTCTTTACAACATAGAGAGGGGGACACAACCATGAACCACCATCGTTCTTAGCCCAATGTAAAGGGGATCTGGGCCAGAGCATTCTCCCAGTGCATGCAAAACACAGCAAGAAAAACAAAAGTAAAGAACAGAAAAAAAAACACCACAAAGGAAAAAGAAAACTAAAGAAATACACCGCAAACAGAGAAGGACTGCTTGCCAGCAGAAATTCATAGTTCTTAGGCTGTAGTTATATAGCATTATCAACTTAATTTTTTGAGGTATTAGTATAAAGAGAACATAGTGTGCTAATTTTGCAAATATTTATGTGCACATATCCAGAATACCTCTCAGAAGGCTGAGAGAGTTGGGGCTTGTTCAGCCTGGAGAAGAGAAGGCTCCAGGAAGACCTTACAACAGCCTTCCAGTACCTGAAGGGGGCCTACAAGAAAGCTGGAGAGGGACTGTTTACAATGACATGTAGGGATAGGACAAGGGGTAATGGCTTTAAGCAGAAAGGGGGTAGGTTTAGAAGAAATTCTTTGCTGTGAGGGTGGTGAAGCACTGGCACAGGTCGCCCAGAGAAGCTGTGGCTGCCTCCTCCCTTGCAGTGTTCAAGGCCAGGCTGGATGGGGCTTTGAGCAACCCGGTCTAGAGGAAGGTGTCCCTGCCCATGGCAGGGGGGAGTGGAACTAGACGACCTATAAGGTCCCTGGAACCCAAACCATTCTATGATTCTATCTGTTAAAATGGATTGATAATTTATTGGTATGAGGTCAACAGATCTGTTTACATACCCAAGTGCTAGCAGGATTAAGATCTTAAATTAAAAAAATGCTCTTCGAGGACATAATTCATCCTGTATATAAATCAAAGCACAAGTTTCAAACTTTTGAAAGGTAGAAAGGAGAAGGAATAACTAGGTTGACATTTATGTATCTACTTCACCCTGGTCATGTTATTAGAAGATTTTTCACTTTCCTTAAATTCCTTTTAAGAACTAAGATCAAACTGCTGCCTGTCTTCTCCACTTTGGCCTGGTGATTTCAAAATCCCCTTATCTCCATTCTGAACCTTAGACTTCTTTGCTTCTCTTCCTCTTTATATCTCTCATGGCAGATGATTTACCTGCAGGATTCAAGCCTTCATTTTATGCTTGGATCTGATTTTAAAGCTTGTCTCCATAATAAGAAGCCTATTTCTTGCTTTAATTTTAATCAAATAAAATACTATATTATCATATGACAACTGAAGAGCATATGTCCTTACAGAATGTATAAATATGGTATGTGACACTCAATAACCCTATAGATGGTAACTCTGAAAAGGACCCAATGACGTAGCTGACTCCAGTTGGAGTTGCTACTGGAATAGCTCAAAGGCAGACTAGAGTGACTTGTCCAGGATAAAAGAAAATACATGACAAAGATTCGAACAGAACTGGACTTTCTGATTCCAACTCCAAGGTCGACCTACTACCAAACATTTTTCCCTCCTTACAGACTGCAAGGAAATTTTAAACAGTTACAACTGCAGACAGAATTGTCCTTTGGAAACTACTAACTCTTTATAAAGACAAAAAAAAATTTCCTTTACAAAGATAAAAAAAAACCCCAACAAACCCCCAAACCAACAGCATTCCCACGACGATCAGCATTCCAGTGCCTTTTTTCTGAATGATGAGTCCAGATGGCCTCTAATTCACTCTGCAACCTGCTAAACTGTTAGCATAGTCACTTCCACTCATGTTTTTTCAGATTTTGTTTGTTTATACTGTCTTCACTGGTACATTGCCATTAGCACCGGCAAAATATTTTCCTCTTTAAAGGTCCTGAACCCTTCTGTTGAAGGTAAAAACATAACTGGTGGAAGAAAACTCCACATTTTCATGCCAAAATTAAAGTGGAAGAAACAATGCATTTTATAACACACAAAATGTTACTCTCTACCTTTCTCTCTGTTAAGATGACATGACAAAAAAACTCAGCTCAGTCTCTTATGATAAAGGTCAATAGCATCATATATCAAATCATATCTTCATCGGGTTTTTTGAAACAGTTACATATAGGAGTTGCAAATGTTTTACTCCAATGATTTTTAAACCCACTGTAAACAGCAAAATTCTGTATTACACCCCAATTTTAAACTACATTTATCAGGAAACAGAATTCC